TGCCATTAATAAGAGTGTTACAGATGGAAGAGTTCAGTTGGTTCATTCTAGACATCCAAGTATGAACACTTCTAGGGATAGGAACTGTTTTGTTGTTGTTGTTGTTGTTGTTGTTTTGGCGGTACTGGGGCTTGAACTCAGGGCCTTCACCTTGAGCCACTCCACCAGCCCTATTTTTGTGAAGGGTTTTTCGAGATAGGGTCTTGCCTACTATTTGCCAGGGCTGGCTTCGAACTGCGATCCTCCTGATCTCTGCCTCCTGAGTAGCTGGGATTACAGGCGTGAGCCACCGGTGCCCGACTATAGGAACTCTTTACCACCAGAAGTAGCTCAGGGCTAGCAGCTCTGATTGTTAATAGAAACGGGAAAATGTTGCTAGAGCAGGGAGGAGAAGTTCTTTACTAGTATGCCGAGCCACTTCCTTGCTGACTCTGGTTCTACTCTTTGGAAAAGCACAGAATGGGTTCTAGATGAGAGTCATTCTTCTTGTGTACAAGCTTCTGATTTAAAATACAGCTCGTTAGGCATTATCTGATGCTTTCTTTCCTTGAACTGTCCTGAGGGAAAGGGAGCTTCGGTTTGGGGGAAAGCAGTGGGGAGGTGCTGAGAACAGAGGCAAAGGGAAGCACGGCCTAGGGCGGGGCCCCAGGCTTGGGTAGGATGTTGATGTAGGAGCTCTGGATAAACAAAAGCAGCACCGAGAGCCTCACCTCCTGGAGACTGCAGTCCAGGATAGGCTAAGGGTTTAAAAATAGCAATGACGATGAACATCTGACTGCAGCGCTAACTATAAGTGGTTTGTTTGAACAGCGTTGCTTAATCCTCACGAGTGTTAAGAGCTAGGTATCATTATTATTCATATTTCACAGATAAGAGTAAATTGAAGGCTGGAGAGGTAAAATAATTTGTCTAGAAAATGCTATTTTTGGGGGGGTTTTTTTGTTTGTTTTTTGTGGTACTGGGGCTTGAACCCAGGGCCTACTCCTTGAGCTACTCCCTCAGCCCTTTTTTGTGTGTGTTGGGTATTTTCAACACAAGGGCTCTTGAACTATGCCCGGCTTCGAACTGCACTCCTCCTGATCTCTGCCTCCTGAGTAGCTGGGATTACAGGTGTGAGCCACCAGCGCTGCCTTGCTGGGTGGTTTTGAACTCAGCAGCCCAGGCTGGGTTTTTTTTTGTTTTTTTTTTTTTGGTGGTTGGTGGTGGTGGTTGGTTGTTTTGCTTTAGTTTTGTTTGCACGCCTGGGGATTGAACCTAGGGTCTTGTGTATGCTCTATCACTGAACCACATCCCCCAAACCCTTTGGTTTTGTATTTTTTGAGATAGGGTCTTGCTAACTTTGCCTGGGTTGGCCTCAGACTCAAGATCCTCCTACCTTTGCTTCCTGAGTAGATGGGATTACAGATGTGCACCACCATGGCCACCTTGTGTTGTTTTGTAACAGGATCTTGCTATGTAGCCAGGCCGGCCTCAAACTCTCAATCTTCCTGCCTCAGTCTCCCAAGTGCTGGAATCACAGTTGTGTAATTCCTCCCTCACCCCCACCCCTGCCCGTTAGCCAGGGGTGGCTGTGAGCACTACCACGTCCTGTAAGGGTGAGTCTTTGGCCCTCCCAGAAGGTAAAGCCCTATTTTCAGGGATGAAATGCACTCAAGGGGACACTGTATGACCTCATTAGCTCCTTAGGACCTTTACCTTGCGTGACCAATGGTCCATTCATAAAAGTTGTTTTTAAATTTTTATTAAATATTTTTCGGTATTGGATTCGAACTCAGGACCTCCTGCTTGCTAAGCAGGCACTCTACCACTTGAGCCTCACCCCTAGCCTCAAAAACTTGCTTTTTTAAAAACACCAAAGCAATGACAGCCTTATCTTCCACAGAAACTGAAAATTGCTTATCAAGTCTCAGCCAGGACCTCAGTACACAAATCACACTTAAAATATTATCTTAAAAACAAACACAGTTTCTAAAGAGAATACATTTAGGCATTTTCTTCCTTGTAGGGATCTAGAGTTAGTGTGGAGGGCCCTTTCTTTCCCCCCTTGCCTTAACTCTTTTGTTAGTTTGGTTTTTGGCAGTGGTGGGATTTGAACTCAGGGCCTCACACTTGCTAGGCAGGTGCTCTGCTACTTGAGTCACTCCACTAGCCCTTTTTCTGTGATTTTTTTTTTTTTTTTGAGATAGAATCTCACAAACTAATTGCCTAGGCTGGCCTCCAACAGCAGTCCTCCTAATCTCTGCTTCCCAGATAGCTAGGATTACAGGTGTGAACAACCACTGGCACCTGGCTTGCCTTACCTCTTACAAGCAGTGTGTCATTTCATTTCTTGGGACCACTTACTAAATGACAGTGATTGTAACAGAATTTTTTTGAAAATTATTTTTACCATAAGAATCTGTGAAAGTCCCTAAAGATCCAATACTGTTGGGTTTGAAACCACAAATTGACAATTTTAAGTTACATTGAAAACTGGCAGTACTGGTTAGCTTTTTAAAAACACATACAGTACAACTTCGACACTGATCAACATTTCCAGCCTCTTCCTGGCAGAGGTGAGCTGGAGAATGAAAGAACCCAGGCACCAGAGGGACCTGCAAGAAGGGAAATGAAGGTGTGGTTTCGGTGCCTGGCTTCAAAGACTGGCGGCAATCACAAGCCTAACCCATTTCTCTCCAGCTACACTAACTTTCTGTAAAGAAGAAAAACCCCAAACAGCCAAAATCAAACTTCCCCCGCATAATTTTTTAATTTAACAATGTCCCAGTTTCCAAGTATCGTCATGTAATCTTTGCAGTTGCGCTGAAGAAGCAAGTTGGGTGAAGGAAGGGCTAGTGGTGTGCACAGTTCAGGCTTTCTAGCTTGGGGCTAGCTTGCTTTTTTTCCCCTCTAAGTTCCAGCTCCTTGATGCATTTGGGTTTACTCACTTTGTTAATTTAGGGACAGGAATGACTAGAGAAAAGACTTCTTCCCTTGTGATAAACCTTTCAGTAAATGGAGTTGAGCAGCCAGCTCCAACTGGGATCACGGTGGCATACATGAGCCATGGCTGTGTACAGTGGGCTCCCTCGCTGTTCAGTTGGGTGAATGGGTGTTAAAAGAGATAATTGCTACAGAAATTTTCTACACAGATTTAAATGATACACTTTCACTTAAAGGATCTGTCAACCTCAGGCTAAGTCTACGGTCACTATAAATAGAGAGGGAGAGCTGAATTCTCCTTTGGGAATTCCAAAATGGTTCCTTCTGAAATCCAGGTTGACGTCTCTGCGTAACTACTTTGCTCTGCCATTCAAAGGCTTTCCAGAGGCTTGGTAAAGTTCTTCTTTGTTCAACACCTACAGGGGTGGGAAGCTCACGACCCACCAGGCAGCCCATTTCAAAATCCTGACAAGCTGTGTAGCTCGAAAGCTGCTCCCTACCCTGAGCCAAACTGACCCCTTAGAGTTTTCACCAGTTTGGCCTTAGATTTGCCCTCTGGAGAGACACAAAATAAACCTAATCCTTCTACTAGACAGCTAATCTCTTTATGTGATTCTCTTAAAAGAAATTGTGGTGACTCAGGCTATGGTTCTATCAAAGATATATATAATAAACCCAATTAGCTTTCCTTCCTTCTCCTTTTAGTGGCAGAGCAGGCTTACATGAATCCACTTAAAATGTTAGGCAGGGAAAATGCTCCCCCTGGCAGGCCCTGGTGCTGCGGCCTGGTTCCAGCCCCAGTTGGTAGGCTGCCCTGGGCCTCAGACACAGAAGAGTCCAGCCAGGGGCAGGGCTAGACAGGCAGGCTCCCTTGGATTTTCCCCTCCGTTCCTGTAACAAGGCCTTCTGCTGGGTCCCTGCAGCCAGCCCCGGGATTCTCCCGAGTCACGGGGCACAGGCTCTGAGTTTTCAAGTGTATTAGAATCCTGAGCGTTTCCCACTCCTTAGAAATGAGGCAGCCCAAGAACCTGGGTCTTAATAAGCACGCCAGGGGCTCTTCACCTCCATACACTTTACATTCGGGAAAATACAGATTTCAGTGAAAAATTACTCAGTGTGAAAAAAGATGAACAACAAAAAACACCTTGCATTTTGATTTTATTAATGTTTAACTTGTTGACCCCATCTGTTTAAATTATTAATCCCCATGTTGTATAAATCATAAAGCTAATACATGAAGTCATTTATTCTTCTTCTCATACTTATCAAGTCTATCAAAATTCTCCCAGAACGAGGAGACAAATAGCATCATCTTCAAGTCACACACTGATAAATGGAAGTATTTATTGAGAAATATTCAAAAGACGATTTACAAGGGAGCCAGGCTCATGGATGAGCCCATGTCTCCTGCTTGGGATTGGCCAACACAGCAGAGCCTGGGGGCAATGCTGGGAACTTTATAGGCGAGCACATGTTGGTCCCACACGTAGCTGATGGGCCTCGTGACTGAAGTTAACGTATAACTCACACCTGGCTGAGCACCGCCACGCACATCCTAGGCAACTGTGGGAATCTCAAAAAGCTATAGAGGGATTCCAGCGCACAGGTTGCAACAAGTCAGAACAGCTCACGGTAGTATAAATACCTGGAGAGTTTAATTACGTAAAGAAAAACCTTCTTTCCTTTGAGAACAACAGCTTTTTCTTTTTTTCAAAATTGGTGCTGTGGACGAGATAAGGGTGTCTCGTCTCTGCAATCCCAAGACAGCTCTGAGACCTGGCTTCTCTGCATCAAAGTGAACCCACATCCTACTCAACGGGTAGGCATTTACCAAATTGAGCAACAACTATAGGGAAAAGTTTTGGTGGTAAGAACTTACTTTCCAACGGCTGGGGGCGCAGCTCAAGTGGTAGAGCACTTGGTGCAAGGCCCTAAGTTCAAACCCCAGTACCTCCCAAAACAAAAGAAAACAAAAACAAAAACAAAAGAAAAGCCTTTACTTTCCTACTAAGGTATTTCATATGTGTTTTTGCAAAGTGAAGTGATTTTAAAATCAGTGTAGCGAAGGCATCTAACTTTCATTTTCTGTTAGGGATGAAGACTTTCACTGGCTCGCTGATCTTCCTCTTCTTCCCAGAGCTCTCAGCACTTTGCTGACTGTACACAAAATTCATTCCTTGAATCTATGAGAATCACCAGAGAGAGGCACAATTCAGCAGAGATTTGACATCTGCACAAGACATATATAAGACAGGTAGACCAAGCATTAAATCCCTCAAGCTGCATAACGGATCCAAACCTGCTTTCCTGTGGGCTGAGTTGGCCCTGAACAAAACCCTGCTGCCAGTATCAAGAGTCTGGGATTCTAAGTTTCAGGAGCTGAGGTTCCCTGAAGGCAACCAGTTTTTGGGCCAGTTTCTTGGCTCTCTCTGGTGAATTCAGCACATCCAACTCTTGAGGGAAGGGTTGTAGGGTGTGGGGCCGACCGGGAGCGGTGAAGGGTCAGGAGAGATCTAGGGCACTGATAGCTTGAGAGGCAAACATAATTTGAGTCCCAATTTCAGTTAGCACAGACACACAGCTTATCTTTTCTGCTATCTGTCCAGATTAATGAATTAAGGACACTGCTCCTTCGACTGGCTGGAAGTATAGGTTATTAATTAGAGGGAAGCTGATTAGTGAGTCACCTCCATGGACTCAGATTTGGTAAAGATTTTCAGACTTAGTTTTGCTTAACCGAGTGAAGAGTTAGACGACCCTTGATGTCTGGACATTTATATATTTTCTGGCTGCTAGATGGGAGGAAAGTTTTTGTTTTTTTTTCATATCCTCTTTGCCTTCTTTAGAAGGAAGAATGGAACAGAGGGTGTTTTAAAGAAAGACTCATGAGAATGCCTAGCAAAAGCTCCAACGTCACCCTCTTTTCTTTTGTGGTAGATATGTTATTATTACTGATACGGTGTCACTACCAAATAGTGGGATGTCAGTAAAAAGAAGATCTACAAATGGCTAATTTAAGCACTAATTTATCCTTTAGTTTTAGAAAACAGTTGAATTTCTGACCCCAGAAACCACAAATTCCCTCCGGCTTAAACTAAGACATTGAAATAATGAAGCTGAGAAAATAAATAGAGCCCCTTGTCAAGTAACTGGTTTGCTTATACATGCACAAGTTTGAAATTAGTAAAGACTCCAAACATGAAAACCAACTTCTTTACTTAGGGGATGAGTTTGTTACTGTTTGGTTGTGAGAAAAAGTACTTGGTAAAACTCAGCTTGTGAAAAAATGAGGCTTGGATATGCTCTCAGTTCAGACCAAACCATCCTTACTTCTACCAAGTCTGGGAACAAGTGAGAGGAGAGAAGACGGGTGTCCAAATTCTCACACAACAACTTGGCCTGATGGTTCAATAGTTTTGTTGTCTTTATTTCTTTTTTGGCAGCACTGGGGTTGGAACTCAGGGCCTCAGGCTCGCTAGGCGGGTGCTCTACCACTCCACACCTCCAACACAGTTTTGTGGTCTTTAAACCAGAGTTTTATTACACGTTTCAGAACTACAATTTTATTACAGTGAGCTAGTCAAAACATCTTCAGTGATGTATACAATCTCAAGGCAACCAGTGAAGTCTGGGAATTCTCAGCGGTTTATAGAAAATTAGGGGATTCAAAGGCAAGGATGTTATCAGTCAGGGGACAGTTCCTAGCATAGACCAATAATCTATGAATTATATAGCCAACAAGTTTATCCACACAAAGGAACATCTGAGAAACATTTTTCAGGTGTGCCCACTGACTAAATTTGCATATCTGATGGCAAAGTCAACAAGCATAGAACCAGCAATGTGAGCGATGTGAACAAAATCAGATGAGTGTCAAATGACTTCTAACGCATTTCATATTATATTTTAACGTATGGCTTTTAAAGTGTTTCTTGAGCCTCCCACCCCGACTTTTTTTTTTGAAGTACTGGGGATTGAACCTGGGGCCTGGTGGATGTTAGGCAAGAGCTCCTACCACTCGAGCCATACTTCCAGCCCTTTAAGGTGTTTCTTGTATGCAGACTAGTAAAAGGCTACCAGGATCCATAGAAAGCCTGAGGAACAGCTCATTTCTCGTGTAAGAGTCTAAGAAAATTTTTGTTTACTAACATATTCTCTGCTTCAAAAGTCCAAGAATAGGCTTTTTTCTTTTTCTTTTTTTGGTGGCATTGAGGTTTGAGCTCAGGGCCTCAAGCTTGCTAGGCAGGTGCTCTTACCATTTGAGTGACTCTGCCAGCCCTTTTCTGTGATGTTTTTTTTTTTTTGAGATAGGGTCTTGCGAACTATTTTCCAGGGCTGTCTTTGAACTGAGATCCTCCCTATCTCTGCCTCCTGAGTAGCTAGGATTACAAGCGTGAGCCACTGGCCCCTGGCTTTTTTGTTAATCATAGATAGACTAGTCAGGGTCCCTTCTTCTAAATGACTGTCATTTATTCCTTTATTCATTCCCTTCAAATGCTTGTTACTTGATTATTCTCCTAGAGTTCTATCTTCAGTGATCTCTTCTCCTTCTCCACACTCTGAGTGACTTCACCCACGCCTAGGAATCAATTACCATTCATAAATCCCGTGTTTATGTGTTCAATTTAGATCTGCCTTCTGAACTCCATGTCTATGTGTGTATCCAACTGCCTACTAAAAGTCTCCACAAGGATGTTCCAAAGAACACTCAAGTGCAGTATATCCAGATTGGAATTCATCAGCTGCCTCTCCAAGACTGTTCCCAATAACTGTTCTCACTCACCTGAGGTATCCACGCTAAGAACCTGAGTCATCCATGACCACCCCACCATTCTCATGCTCACATCCAATCAACCACTACATCCTAGTGATCCTACCTCCTTAGCAGCTCTCAAATCCATCCATCTTTCTCTATTCCCACCACCTCTACTTTAGTGCAGGCCACCATCACCACCTCTCCCAAGGACTCTGCTTCTCCAATCCATTCCCAGTCTGGAGCACAACTGGTCTTAGGTGCAAATCTGACCACCTCATTCTTCTGCTTCATCATTCACCCACTAATGACTCCCCATTGTCATCAGGATAAAGTTCAGATGTTTAAGGCCCTGGCATCTCTGCAGCTTCAGATCTCCAAGTGGGCCCTGCTTGCTCCCCTCTGGATTTCTCCCTTAAGGCTCCCTCCCTTGCTCTGGTGTTCCCTTTTTCATCTGCTCTGCTGGCCTTCCCTGACACCCACAGGGCTGCACCTCTTTTGCCCCTTTGTAGTTCTCACTACGTAGTATTTCCAGGCCTGATTAAGTCTTCCCTTACAGCAGACACTCCTCGAGGGGAGTAACAACAATTGAATCATCTGTATATCCTCAGTTACTGGCTGAGTGAATGGATGCATAACTGAAGCTTTTTCTAGGATGAAGTCTTGGTCTTGACGCCCCAGCAGCGGTTCTTTACATTTTCAGGGGAGGGAAAGGCAAGTCCTGATGAAACCAATTCCTCTCACCTCAGCAAAATGCTCGCCCCTCTACTACATACTCATGACCTGGACCAGCCAGTTGAGGGCTCCTAGCCACCCTGCGCATCTCCCAACTAGATTTATGCCCTTCAGGACGCTGTGCTGGCCATGCCTACTTGTCATGCCTCACAGCCTCCATATGCAGTGTGTCTCAGATTTACATCTCCAACTGAGATCGCTCCTGAGCTCAGAGGTGCACATCGCCACCTAGTCAACACGTCCCTCCCTGCTCAAGGTCCGCAGATAGCTACATTCAGCAAGTTCAAAATCTGCATTGTTCCCTGCCTGAGAGAACAGCACCTCCATGTGAGAGTCATCTGCATATGGAGCACAATTAAGGCCATGGGTGTGGATAAGCGTGAGAAGGGAGAAGGAAAGGACCAGGACACAGCCTTAAAGGACATCCACCATTTAGAGATTAGCTGGAGAGAGGCCAAGAAAGGACGTGTGAAAAAGAGAAGCAAAGCCCAGCAGAGTGTCAGTACACGGAAGCCAGGGAAGAGGGTGCTGGAGGGGGTGGAGAAAAGAACAGGTGAAGTCAGCAGTGTCAAGTGTTGCTGAGAGGTCAAGGGCAGTGTGTCCACTTCAGTAGCCACATGGTGCTGCTGGGTACACTGGATTAGTCACCATTCTATTGGAATAGGTATCAGTTGAAGAGTGCATAACGTATCAAAGCAATTGAGAGAAGGAGCACAAAGTCTGATGAAAGCCAAGAGGGGGTAACAAATTCAACCTGGGGAACTTAAAAATGGCTTCTTGGAAGAGGGACACTGAGCTAGGTCTTGAAGAATGAGGAGCAGTTCAGCAGACTGGAGGTGGGGGTAGAGGAAAAGGAGGTCATTCTAGGCAAAGAGTTCAGCATAGTTAAAGGTTCTGAATCATGAAAAGACAAGAAGGTGGACGGGACAGTGGGCTATGCCCCTTCATTAGATCAGCCCTTGGGATTAGGTGTTATGTATCCAACATACTTCTCTTAAAAATGTAAACTCTCCTGGGACGATTACTCAATTTTGTGTTTGTAAATTAACTTATCAAACGATCTCCAAGTGGCAGCCAGCTGGAAGCAGGGCCTCCCAGGCTTTGGGAAGAAGACAGACATGTTTCCACGGAAGGAGAGCAGTTGAGGCTCCAGTGCTTGCTTTGCATAGGACGAAGGCCAGTGTAGGGAAGCAAGGGAGGGGGCAGCCCCAGGCAACCAGGAAATATCATGAGTACTTGACATGCCTGGGATGAGAGTGCAGAGACTTTTGTTTACTTAAAAATTATTTTTCAGGGCAGATGTGGCAACAGTGTTTTCTCTAGAAAACGACCTCAGGAGTGTAGATTTATAATCAAGTCTTAAGTCCAGAATCTTTGGGGTTGGGGGTATGGGTCAGGGAATTCATGGTTCAGAGGACTGCACCCCCATGGGAGTTACAGCACTGGTTAGTTTCGATCCTCTCTCCTTTATCTTTTTGGCACAGGAAAAGGCAGACAATAATTATAAAATTAAATGAGATTTTAGAATAAACACTTTAAAAGCAGTATTTCAATAATATTTTACTTAACACAGTGTAGCTTATGTTAACGTCCTGATGAGAGAGCAGTAAGAAATGCAAATGTCTATGGAGAATACTTACCTCCAATCCCAATGGAGTTGTAAACTCTCCCGTGTGTTTCACGGGGCTCACCCAG